CTGGACGACGGGGTGTTGCGGAGTCGCCGATTGATGTTCGAATCAGGTTTCGCGCGGAATGGATGTTGACGGCTAGGGTTATAGAGGATGACAGTCTTTTCAAAAATGGTTTAGCCTTCTGTTAATTAATCGTGAGTTTAATTTCCGTTTTCTATTTTCATTATTAATCTCATTAATATTTATTATATTCCTTTCTTGCCCTTCTAGGTAGTTATTCAATGATTAGTAATGTTTTTCTCCCTCTTCTTCCTATTGGCTGAAATTGGTTTAAGATCTTCCTTAAGGAATGAGGCTTAAGGACCTGATCTGACCCGTGCTAGGACCTGAAATATGATACAAATACACAACTTAGCATAAAATTGGCTTATATGAGGGTATTTCCAACCTAAATGATAAAAAAAATGGTCAATATATAAGAGGAAATATATGTATAATTATGAACATATCAAAGATAGTAAGAAAATGATGAGATGATATTATCAAGTCTTACCATAGTGATATGATGTTTGTATGACATTGATAAACCGCAGTTCTCTTGAGTTTAGTCCGGTATGGACCGAATCATTGCGCACCACTAGTTAGGGATGGTAAATGGTTAGTCAGTTAACGGTTTTAACCAATAAATGAACCGATAATGGCGGTTAATGGGTACCGATAACCACTTATTTCTTAGTGGTTTAGTTTCGGTTAGTTGTATTTTTCTTAGTGGTTAACCGCTAATTGACTAATCAATTAGTGGTGAATCGATAAAAGAATCGATAACTGCTTACTAGTATAACCACATAGTTTTGGTCTTTGGCTAAGGGAACAAATCTCATTGTTCAAAACTAGGCAAAGTCGTAATTCCAGACAACTCAATTTCCACTTATTGCAAACAACCCTTCGACCGAATTCTTAAATCTGTTTAAAGTAAGAACCCAAAAGTCATCCTCTCTGAATCCCCTTTGCAATCGACAAAGCAAACATCACATCCTCATAGTCTTTGTTTCTTTGATGTTTGTGGATGATGATCTTGTGTTTCTTGTGTTTGTGTCTTGGTAGTTGGTATTCACCAATTAGATTAAGACATTTGATTATTTTTAATTTTATGCGTTGTAATTTGGATTAAGATTATGAATTCACGATGAATATTGTATTGATGTTAGATCTATCATTAGTATTTTATGTTAATAGTGTAGAAGTGTAGTTTAATTGTTTTACAAGTGATTAGGATTTAATGACACTTGTTAAATTAATTGGATGATGATTGTGTATTACAAGTGGTTATTGTTTCTCCTTATTATATTTTATAAAAGAAAATAGAAGTTATTGGTTTGATTATGTATATTCGTACTTGTTGGAATGTATGTTAGTGGTTATTGGTTAACCGCCAAATTAACCATTAATCGAACCGATAAGACTTATTGATTCGGTTATCGTTATGATTTTCTTTTGCTTATTGGTTAACTGCTAGCCGCCATATCGATTATCGTTATGAATTACCACTGTACCTCGAGTCCTGAGAAACAACGATTGTGTAGCTAGGTGGCAGACATACAGACAAAGAAAAGTCAATAACATACCGAACCGTTGGCGTTGCACACTAGGGGAGGGTAATGGGTGGGTTGGGTGGATTTTGGTCTCAAATTGACTCACCCGCTTATTGGCGGTTTGGTATAATTGTGACCCGCTATCCACCCACATTCTTTTTTGTGTTGGGTTGGGTTGGATGAGTGCTGATGTGTACGGTTGGATTGTGGGTTATCCCACAAAAACAATTATCCAACTAAATATTAAGAGTTGACTAACAATTATAATAAGTTCTTAACAAATTAGTAAGATTATACCAATTTAGAGACTTTCCACTTTGTCTCCTGTGGATTCAAGTAGTATTTGCATAAAAAAATTTTGATGACTACATTATGTAAAGAAAACTAAAGCATTTTGCTATTTGATACAATTAATAGTTTATAATTATCATCCCAATATCTAATGGACACTAGACAACATAGTAACCAATAATAGTAGTCCAACAATATTCCTTATTCTTCACCTTTAGATGGTCACTTTATAGTACGAATATGAAATATGATGAAAATTTGATTAGTGGCGGACCTAGATATTTTATTAAGGGTATTCAAAAATAAAATAATAAAAATTCATAAATTATTTAATAAATTTTTATTAATGAAGTACAAAGTTATTAATATTTTCAAAATAAATCATATTGTGTTTTCACATTTATAAAATTTTCAAAAATAAATTCATTATTTATGTTATGATTCACATAACTTTCAATAAATGTAGGGGTTGTTTGGATGATGGCTTTCCGAAAGGAGGCAATTTAACCAAATTGCTTCAAAATTGTCTCATCTCACAATTAACGCATCATTTCGAAATATTTGCACTTCCATGTCAATTCAAAATTAATACAAAACAAGGCAATTGTGTTGGCAAAATTTATGTGTCCCATTTTGTGTTTCCAAAAGAAACAATTGACTTCATTTTAAGACAATAGGCCCAAATTATCACGCTCAATTTCATCATCCAAGATACCCCTCAACCAAATAGTCATTTACAAATTGACCTCCCATCTTATGAGAATTTGGATGAAGTAGGTAGTCAAAGGGGTTTTTTTCTCGATAGTTGGTGTTTCTCTCATTAAGCTCGCTTGGTCAAACCACTAGGATAAAAAAAGAACCAAAGGTGCAAGCACCACAATACAACTTACAAGTCTCTACCATACTAACAGGAGAATCAACTAAGGGAACTATAATCACTAGCAAAATTGGGATTCCCTAATCCATAACACTAGACATCTCTATAAGAGGATTCAATAAGAGAGCCAAGAGTACAACTTAATCCACCAAACACACGATTACATCTCTCTCTCCAAATGGAGGAGATAACCAAAACTAGCAGAATCCCAGCTAACTGTACCATCAGCTTCCTCGTACAATTTGTATTGAAACCAAGAACGGATCTTGAGGAGTTTCTTCCAGATCCAAGATCCCTCCTGATTGCCTTTCAAGTCCCAGTAGCATCTACCCGTTATTTTGTATCTATAACCCATGCTACCAGAAGGAGCCACCTCTGACAAGTAGAAGACAAATTAGTTTCCCTGCACAAGCAACATTCAAGAAAACCAAAGCCCGCCTTCCTTCTTGGAGATAGTAAGCAAGTCTCAAGCCACTGTAGCTCTTCCAGATACATTCCCATGCCACAGGAAGTCAGAACACAGCTTTTGGACCTACTTGATAATTCACTTGGGTAATAAGAATATTCCTATCCAATACTACAAAATGGGTAGATTACATAAGCAATTAAATCCAATCTGCCAGCATAGGTAAGCTTGCTAGCCCTCCAAGTTTTAAACCTGTTCACTATCCTATCAATCAGCATATCACATTCCTTCTTGGACAGCTTTCTTGCAATAAGTGGGAGCCCTAAGTATCTTGCTGTTAACTGTCCCTCCTAAAAGGCATATACAAACAGAGCAATATCTCTAGCAGCTCTAGAGGAGCACCAAAGTAAACTACACATTTATCCGGGTTGCATTTTAATCCTGAGATTTGAGTAAAATGCATCTAAGATCCTTTTGTCGCAACCGTCCCTCCGGGGGCCGTATGTCGTCGCGTTGGCATTGTGGGAGTCGCCATCGATCTTACTTGGAGTGGATCGAACACTCTTAGGATCGGCTCTAACCTTAGGGTCAGAACTGAGATATGGTCTGCGAAAATGAAGTTCTGGGTTCGGGAGTACGGTTACGTGTGGGGAAGTTAAGCAACACCCCCACAACGCCCTAAATCGGTACTACTTAAGTTGATAAGTTTAAATGTGTTGGGTGTGTTTTTTAGTAATAATTTTGTAATTTTAGGGTCCCACTGGACCATTTAATGATTTTATCGTATTAGTTGTAACTTAATTACACGCCCACTGACGTACAAATTTAAAGATAAAATTAGTGGATTAGTTGGACTCGAACCTTATCGGTTGCCTACGTACCCGTTAGACGGGATCAAAGTCCACGTAGTTCGTTGGGAATTTGATAATTTTAATAATAAATTTTACCACGTTCCACTGAACGTAATTTTCGTATTAAATTGATTCCGTTATACTAAAATTTTCATATGAAAATATGGTGCGGTAAATTGGGTGACCCGTAATTCACCCACCACCCATCCGAATAAGTGTGGGTTGTAGTTCTATCAATCCGCAATTCACCCACATAAACGATCCACCCACTACCGTTCAGATTATTTGCAGATAAGTCGATATCAAACAGCGAATTAAACACACACGTATCCAACTATTGTCTATTGCACACTTGTTTTTTTTAAGAAAAATAAAACAACGGGTCGCGCAGACACCAAAAAGAAGAAAAAAAAAGTCTGAAGCAAGAAAACCTCTAAAATCCTAACCAATCATATTTACACGTTACTAATCAGCCGAACGGGATTTTCAGAATGGATGTTTAGGCGATTAAGGGGTCGTTTAGAAGTTGCGATTATTTTGTTGAGATTATCATTATGCATGTATTGTTTACAATGCATCGTTTTTTTGTTTTTTTAGCAGAAACAATACATGGATTGTTTCTGTGATGTGACAGAAACTATCACTCATTTTGAGTGATTGTTATATCTCAACTTTTAGTTGTGATTGTTGAGATAGTTGAGTTGAGATTGTTTTATCTCAGCTTTTAGCTGATGCGACATACACAATCACATATACCAAACGTTGTATTCTACAATGCATCAAATTTGACAATATATGTAAAATATTATACATGCATTCTCAACAATACATGTATAATAATCGCAACTTCCAAACAACCCCTATTTAACCATCGCAACTTCCAAACGACCCCTAAGTTTCCTAGTAGCCTGGCTGGCGCACAGCTGTTTGGCCTCTTTGTCCGCGTCACGAGTGCAGAACCCTCGGAAACTCCATACGACTCCTTGAATGGACAAATTTACCCCTAAAATCCTCCCGTAATTACGACAGTGCCCAATTCCTTAGCTCTGTAGTAGATAGAGGTAGAGTCCGACTCGGTTTCCCAACTCTCATCACCCACCCGACGCCTATAGTCGGTACACAATTCTCTCCATAATCCACAATTCTCTCCATATCAAACCCCTCCCCAAGCTTCCTCGCACACTTACACGCCACTGACGCCTCCATCGTCTCAAGGTCAGTTCTTCGCTTCCCCGCTCTTTTCTTGCTCCTTTTTGTTCCCTGGGAAACAAACCCCCGAGAGATAGCCGGAATACGAATCAAATTATCCTGTTCTTCCTCTTGTAGAACAAGCCTTAGGGTTTTATATTTCTTGTTTCCTTGCAGTTGGATCGCGTCGTGAAATATGGGTTTCAAAACGGTTTACAACCTTCTCATGGATGTCTTCCCTGAGGTACTACTTCTGGCTGTGATCACAGCTCAGTGATCCCTTGCATGGCTTTTTTTTTTTTTTTTTTTCTGTTCGTTTTATAACCCTGTTTTTCTCTGTTTTGTTTCGTTTCTGCCATAGGTCGATATCCGAATGCTGAGGGCTGTTGCTCTTGAACATTACAAGGATCCTGATGCAGCTGTAGAAGCGGTTCTCACTGAGGTTCTTCCTCTTTTAGAGAATCAATCACGTGATTCCAAACCATCTCTTCAGACTCCAGAAGAAGAAGGTAATTGATATTCGTTTAGTAACTCTGCTTCTTAGTTCTTCGATTCCCCTCTTGTTCATGAACTATATTTGTGTAGTAGAGCGTGTTTTGGAAAAGTATCTTGTTTGCTTGAGAAAAGAAGGAAAAAAGTATGCTGCTTTTCTCATGTGTCTGAGACGTGAAAATACAATGTTGCTCATTGTTTCATTTAACAATTACATTTTCTGAATGTTCATTTCTACAGCTGAACACGAGGATCAAACTGACCTGTTGCGCCGTAGGCCGATTGGTTCAGGAAAGGAGGCCACTGCTTCTTCGGCGCAGCCATCAACTGCCTGGGTAGATGATCTTCGAAATGATCTTATGAGGTCTGATTCTCAATTTGGTTCCTCTAGTAGTGGTAGTCAACAATTGACGAATATGGAGCCCGTACTGTCCTCTAATGTGCAAGAGGAGGCCAATCAGTTGCAGAGAGGGACTGATAATGAAGAACTGATTCTGCTTCAGAAGGCACCTTATCAAGGACAGAATTCTCATTCTGGATCAAATCATACCTCTCCTGTTGTTTCCGATGATTTGTTTTCTGAAGATGTTAAATGCAACGGCGGAGAAGTGTTTTTTGATACTGAAAATGAGATAGCTTCTCAGGAAATATACCAACAGAATGACAGTGACTTGGGCCCTGAGAAGGCCACACACGCTATGACTGCCACTGAAGTAGAAGATGCTTGCTCTAATGGTGGCCCTGTTGGTCATGACACGGAGAAGATTTCTTATGCTTCTGTCGAATGTGTTGATGTTGTTGCTGGTGAGAAGACACCTGAAGTTAATACTCAGGTTGATGCTGGAATTACAGAGACCGAGCAGGGGACAGCTACAGGTGACATTAATGTCGGAATTCCAGGCAGTCCAAGTAATGCTAGTGAGAATGGTACAGCACAGCAAGATCTCAACATTGAGGTTCTTGATGAATTAATCGAAGCTGGTAAAAACAACAAGGTAAAGGGCCTTCACAACCTGCTTTTTCTTAATTGCTTTGAATAACTTACTTACGTTGAAACAACATGAAGCCTTCTCTTAGAAAATGTGATTGTTCTAATGATGTAATATTTATCCAATTTGCATCATCCCGTTTATCTTAATTCACGAGATATTTTGTTGCCGACCTTTTGGATGTCAATTCAGAAAACATTGTTTTCTGCGGTGGAGTCGGTTATGAACAAAATGAGAGAAGTTGAACGTAAAGAAACGGAAGCAGAACAAGCAGAACAGGAAGCTGCAACAGCAGGTCTGGACATACAAGTCCAGGTTGAGGAGCTGAAAAAGATGCTTTCACATGCAAAGGAGGCAAATGACATGGTAAGTATAGTTGCATTATGATGGACTTAATTAATCTTTTCAAGCTGTATTCATTTTGGGTGGTCATCCTAAAATGAATAAAATGTCATGGTTTCTGCAGCATGCAGGAGAAGTGTACGGTGAGAAGGCAATCCTGGCAACAGAAGTTAAAGAGTTGCAAGCTCGTGTACTCAATTTGTCAGAGGAAAGGGATACTGCTATAACTATTATAGATGAGGTATTCTCTTTGCTGAACTTCTCTTATTCTCGTGTCTTAAATATAATTACTATAATTGTGAAAGGCTGTGCATATGCACTTTTAATGACCAATATCAATTAGGGATTGCAAAATAATCTGGTACTCAACCGAATCTGAATCGATTTTTTCGGGAAAACTTCAACGATATTACTTTTGGGTGTGTTTTCCCTGAACCAAACAATGAGGGTAATGGGTTTGGTCCGGTTTGATGTTTAAGTATCCGCACCAAACCCACCTGACTAACTATGTTTTAGACTCTCTTCAATACTTCGGCCATCAATATACCTCAAACATTATAATAATAATTTTCTTTTAGATTCAAAACCTTCCTCATTTTCTTTCTTACAAAGAGTGTATCAAAGAAACTTCAATTAACATAGACATTCTAAGGAAATTTTTGCATTATATCAAGAACTTCATATATGATTGTTTTGGGGTTGGTGTTGGTGGGTTTTCTTGAACCACATACGAATAAGTTTTGGTATGTCTTTACATCCACGTTCACTTTTGGGTACTGTGGTGGTTATGATTTTAAATTTGTAATCCTGGGATGATATATAGGAAAATCTGCCCCACCCAAACTTGTTTTCGTACCTAGTATCAGTCATTCTTAGTTGCCAAAGCATCCTCATGACCTTTTTCCTGTCTGGTGTACATGGATAATGCTGTATGTTTTCTCATTCTATAAGTGGTAGTGTACTGATCGAAGATTAGCTTTCATATGTATCATGTACCTATCATGTGCAAGCAAATAAGTGACCCACGCCACGCCACATTCTACATACCCAGTTCTGTGTTTATAAGGATTGTACAACTGCTAACTTTTATCCATGTTTAAATGATTTGGTAAGTGAGTCCAGATAAGCTTTTCTTCGCGGAATCGTTCCTTTCAATATCTTGCTTATATTTCACATTTAAGATAATGAAGCTGCTCAAAAATATTTAGAGCTAAGAACATTGAAACTGCTCTGAGACATGCTGTAATTAAGTAATGCAAATTGAGAACTAGATGCCTATCTATGTGTACACTATGAGTATCCTGATTGCTGGTTATCCTGAATGGAATAAAATCTAAAAAGTGAAATAACTGTTCAGATGCATCGTGCACTAGAAGAACGATTAGCTGCAGCTGGCGAGCTGCTAGCAGAGGCTGAGAAGCAGAAGCAAGAGAAGGTAGCATCTGCTCGTGAAGCGCTGTCCGAAGAACAATCGATCATGGAGAAAGTCGTTCAGGAATCAAGGATCCTGAAAGAGGCAGCAGAGGAGAATTCGAAGGTAACTAACTAACTTTTGATTGAACCATTCAGTTATCAACTTGTACCATGATGTTAATAATATTGTTATTGCATTCTTGCAGTTGCGGGAATTTCTCATGGACCGTGGTCACGTTGTCGATATGTTGCAGTTAGTATTATTTATCTCATTGTTTTCAGCTTCCATCTTCTTACTTCAGTTAGTCACCCCCATGCTGAATTGCTTGCTGCTGCTGCAGGGGAGAAATATCTGTCATATGTCAGGACGTGTGGTTGCTGAAGGAGAAGATTGACAACCGTGTCCCACTGAGTCAATCCATCTCATCCAGCCAGACTAGCTGCATTTTGGCTTCCTCAGGCTCCTCATCAACTAGAACTGTCGTCGCAGTTGATGTGTTCCCCACGATGGGCTCGAAGCATACAAGTCCTACATCATCTGTAAGGGCTGAATCACCGAGGAGCGGGGACATGGGAGCTCATTTGGTGAGCAACAGCGAACTGGACGTGGAGAAGATGGTTAGTGGCCAGAGAGAAGAGCTTCTCGATGATGAGTGGGATCTCTTGGACCATAACGAAACTGGAATAGTTTCAACACCTGCTGAAGTATCTGCATTGGTGGGTTAGAGAATGGGTCTATTGGGATAAATATATATACTATATACGATTATCGCGCTAATCTGCGATTAGGAAGTCTATAGTTTATTTTTTTTTTTTTTTTGAAGATGTGTTCATTAGGATTAAACGACTGGGCCGAGCCCACAAAGGAAGTGTACAAGCAAACAAAAGCAGAAAGGAAAAGAAAAGCCCAAACAACAAGGCCCGAAGACAAACTCAGAAGCCCAATAGGGTCCGAGCCCAGAGCCAAAACAAGAAAGAGCCTTTCCCAAACCCTAGCCGCCAAAGTGCCCCCTCTGAACCTCCACCGCCGCGGCAAGCAACACCACCGCTCCCGACAAATCGCCGCCACCCATCCTTTGAGCGTCGCCGTAAGCCAAGCACTGGTTTGGGTACCCACCAGACCCAGAAGGCAAGATGAGGAGAAAACAACCACCGAAACATCTCGTCCCGAGCCGATCACCATGCACATCTCGCCGATAACCACGAGAACCGAGCAGAACAATCGGACGGCCGACGGAGGCAGCGAGTTAGAATACACCAGTCTTCAAGCTCTCCTATCCGGGTCCTCGCCAAGGGCTGCATCTCCGGATCGCCAAGAACTGCAAGGCAAAACAAGGAGGTAGACCAAAGAAGAGGAGAGGAGAAGACAAGTCGGATCTGTCAGATCCAACCTCTATCGCATCCTGAACGGACATGCATCTCCAGATCTGGAAAAGGAAGTCTATAGTTTATGGGTAGTTGGATTGAGTATTAATTATATGTATGCTTTTGATTATTTTTAGGATTAATGGCATTTTTATATCATTTTACTATTGCAAATTAACAAAAATGTCTTTTTAATTTTTTTTGCATAAACATAATGAATATATCCTTCCGCCTAATCACCAGTTAGTTTACTATTAAACTAGCTGGATAATGACCAAAATACCCCTCACTTAATTAAGTTTATTTTAATCATTTTTCACCCCAAACCCAATTTAAAATTAAAACAACATCTTTCCTTCAATCAGCTCGCCATCATTTCGTCGGCCTCCTTCCCAAATTTCGTTGAAGACCCGCCGCCGATAGACACAGGGGCAACCTCGACGGCGGCTGCACGTGGCTCTTCCTAGCCAGCGGCCGGAGCGGATACTGTTATGGCATCAGTGGTTGGAGGCAGGAGCGGACAATTGCGGGTGAGGCAGCTCACGATTACAGCTCGATGCTGGAGCAGAAGACGACTTTGCCCAGTCAATTTGAACGGTCATTACACTTTTACATTACTCTTTCCCAGGAGTCCCGTAATTTGTCATATCCCACCTCTTTCTTTTCTTTACACCTTTCCTCTGCCTTTTGACGTTCTCCGCTTTCATGGTCGCTGATCGATTCATATGTTTGGTAGTGACGTCCTCCCACCCGCAGCTGTCCGCTCCGGCCGCCGGCTAGGAAGAGCCACTTTCCCCACAATTGTCGTCGTCTGCTCCAGCCGAAACCATGCGCCGCCTCACCCGCAACAGTCCGCTCCAACCGCTGTTGCCGTAACAGTGACGTCGTCTCACCCGCAACAGTCCGCTCCGGCCGCCGGCTAGGAAGAGCCACGTGCGGCCGCCGCCGAGGGTGTGGCGTCGTCTATCGACGGGAGGTCTTGAGCAAAATTGGGGAAGGAGGCAGACAAAAGGACGACAAGATGATTGAAGGGGACGATTTAGGATGGTGTTGTAATTTAAATTAGGTTGGGGTGAAAAAATTATTAAAATTAATTAGATTAAGTGAGGGGTATTTTGGTCATTGTCCAGCCAATTTAACGGTCAATTAACTAATAATTAGACGGAATGATATGTTCCTTACGTTTTAATATTATAAGGATTTTGTGCAAAATTTTAAAAGAGGGGTAGTTTGTTAATTTGCAATAGTAGAGGAGTACAAAATGCAATTAATCCTTATTTTTATTAATACTTAATTTTCTATGAAATTTGCTAAAAACACTATTTTGGAACCAAAATTTGAAATTAAAAAAAAATTATGAATAAGATTTTTACCAAATTTTTGGTTGACCTTCAATGCGGACAACCAAGCTTTTTTAACGTAGTGCTTTATTGGCTGGCGTGAATGTCACATGTTTGTCATGCATAATTAGTAAAAATTCATTCGATAACCGGTATGCGTACTAAATGAGGGCAAAACTATTGGACTCCAAGTATTATGGAGCTGTATTTTCTTACCATTTATTTAACGTTTCGCTTATTCAACACATAGAAAACATTCAATTCAATACACGTTTTATAAGGAATTAAATTGATAATATATTGATTTTATATTTTTAATCCATTTGTTTGTGAATTTCTGGTATTTTATAACTAATGTCAAACTTGTAAACGTATTGTAATGTTAAAATGACATAAAAAAAAATTAAATGCTTATCATTCTCGTAAAGTACATGTATCATATTCATGGGCTACGTCACACAATATAATTTTCTTTCAAAAAAATGTTATTTCTTTTTCAAATGGACAAAATAAATATTTTTCTAATTAAAAGAATCCTACCCAATATCAAAATGATCAAATCTCCTTCTCTCTTCAATTGAGTGATGGTAAGACGATATCAGTTTCGGCTCCTATCAACAAAACGCAATAATGATAACTAATTTAAAAGTATTCAATCTAGAAAGATTTATGAGAAAAAAAAAACGTAAAAAAATTAACTTACTGAATAAAAGCCAAGACCGCAAATAATACAACCCAATTGAATAACTATTTTGTTTTTAGCTTTATAGGAAAGAGTAAAGAAAATAATTTTTTTTCAAAATACACATATTTTTAAAAAACATTCCCAAAATACACACGTTTTCTGATAAATTCTCAATCTACACATGTTTGGACATCAGTGCGGTCGTCAACTGTAGTGAATGCCTTTACCGTGGCAGACGAAAGTGGTGAATGCATCACCGCGGTTGTCGGCCGTGGTGAATGTCTAACCTAACACTGAAACTTCAAACGAACGTAACTTTGCGCTCGGTTATCCGATTGTATCGAATGTTTTTTTTTTCATTCTGCATAACTTTTCAAGATCTTTCAATTTGCAACAAGTCTTCATCCCAAAAAATGTAGTTTGCTATCCCCGAACGAGCAATTTATCATTTTGCCAAACTTTGGAAGATCATAACTTTTTGCTCCTCAATCCGAACGTCATAAAGATTTTTTTGATTGCGTATAACTTTGTAAGAACTAAAACTTTTACTATGAAAGAATTTTTAAAAAAAGAAATATTTTTCGGTATACGGGATTTTGGGAACAACTTTGCCTTTTCACAAATCCACATACATTCCAAAATTATGGTCATGATCAAAGTTTTAGTCATTCAAAAGTTATTCCAAATAAAAAAAGTTTCATGACATTCGGATTGCGGAGCACAAAGTTATGGTCTTCTAAAATTTGTCAAAATCGAAAAATTGCTCGTTCGGGGTAGCAAACGACATTTTTTTGGGACGAAGACTTGTCGCAGATTGAAAGATCTTGAAAAGTTATGCGGAAGAAAAAAAATTCGCTACGATCGGATAACCGAGCGCAAAGTTACGTACGTTTGAAGTTTCAGTCTTCGATCAGACATTCACCACTTTCGTCTGCGGCGGTGAATGCATTCATTGCGGTTGACGGCCTCAGTAATGCCCAAACATGTGTATTTTGAGAATTTTCATAAAACATGTATATTTTGAGAATTCTTTTAAAAACATGTGTATTCCAGTAAAAAAAAAAAAAAGACCACCGTACAAATGTGGGCCGAGGCTAAATAACACAACCCAAATTAAAGAACTCATGTCTTAGTGAACAATAAATCCTATTTAGCTTTATATATATACCAGCTTTTATCCCACCCGTTGGTCGGATGGATTTTATTTTATTTAATGTTAATCAATTTCTTCATACTTTTAAATAATTTGAGATTTTATAAAATAGTTAATTCATTATTTCAAATTTATCTTTATGATATTCTTTTATTATGACATTAGGGATAATTAGTTAATGTATATTTTCATATCTTCGTAGAAATTTGCAAACTTTTTATTGTCGAATATGAATCTAGAGTTGGAAGAAAATATATGTCATCTAGAATGGGTAGGAATTGAAGTTATATTAAAAATCAAGAGAATAACGAAAAGATTATGCCTAGAAATCTCAAATATGGAAGAACACGAAAAAATCATTCTTATTGTATAAATTAAGATAATTTAGTGTATAGGCTTGTTTGAATAATAAGTGGGGGCTGTTAAGTGTTTGATACTAATGCGCGTACAAGAGTTAAGAAAATTCAAACATTGTAAAACCTTAAATTCTACTCTACCAATACGATATTTGACTTTTTATGTGGAGTTAATAGCATAAATTGTCACTCTATTATCCATTTTTCTCAATTCTATCCTTCTTTTATTTTTCACATCAAACATGCCCGCATACAATATAGTATATACATTTTAACAAATTAAATTTACCCCCATTTTGTGGCTTATCTTCTCCGTCTGCAACTCCCAATAATTAATAGACATAATCCCATCATCCATCTGTTCCACTTACTCTTCCTTCGACCCAACAATAAATAAACGCAAAATCTTGTCCGTCACGAAGGAACCTTGAAGACCGACTTTTGAATTTCAACCACTCTCTGAAAGTCCACCATTATTGATCGATTCGACTCAATAAGAATAATTTGAACCCAAAATTTTTAGAATATATGGATTTCAAATTATCAAAGGTTGTTTACCCGGTTTAGCCCGTTGGTCAGGTCAATTAAGTGGATTGAGGGTTAAAGGTCCAATCGTTTGAGTCCGCTTTTGCCCGGATATATGAAAAAGTTATTATATTAACTTGAGTGTGCCGAAAGAGTGTGACTATTATATTAAATCAATTACTATATCATTTAACTTACTAACATGTTTTGGTCAAAATATTACAACAATGCAGTGGAAAAAGAAAAATAAACTCATTTTAGTAGAATGATATCTTTAAATAATCTGCTTAGGACCGAAAAAGGAATAGACTTCAAAAGTTGAATAGAAACCCACCAAAGTTTATGATAGTACTGTGTTTCGTTTTATTTTATTTAAAAGGAAAATAGGAATGAATGCATCGTTTATCCACTCCCATGAACTCAATTAGTTGTTAATAAAAGAGTCTACATCTTCTTATTCCCCTACGATTCTTTGT